TTTGTAAAAGTCAGAGGATACCCTTTCTGGAATGCTAGATTACTGCTGTAGATGAAACTTGTAACAATACTAACATGATACATGATACATGATACATGATACATGATACATGATCTCTCCGTCCGTAGTCCTTTGCCTTAAGGAATTGGACAGGTCAGGGTTAATACAAAGAATAACCAAACTTAAATACTAGTTTTTGTCACCGTTAAGGTAACTTATGTCTATGTCATGAAAACTTAACTCCATAGATATTTTTTCAATTCTAATTTGAATTTTGTTAACCTCTGAATTTCAAGTAATTTTTTCGGTAGGGCCTGGTACAATTTCATTCCCATGTAATCTGGTTTGTGTAAAAATGTTGTGAGTTTATGTTGGACTCCATGTGTGCCCTTTGTTCGGGTGTTGTAAACGTGATTTGTAAAAGTTGGTTTAATGTTCTGTGATTTTATATAGCAAACTGATTCAAAGATGAAAAGTGAATGGACTGTGAGAAAGCCAAGTTCTTTAAAAACATTTTTGCAGCTGGTCCGAGGCGGCATGCCCAAGATTGCTCTAACTGCTTTGTTCTGCCAAACAAAGATCTGCTCAATATTTTTATTCACAGCTCCCCATAGGATGATTGAATACGAAATGTGTTGTTCTATTAGGCCAAAATACACAAGTTTAGAGAGAGAGCCAGGTTTCCGAAGGTCCTTATTCTTCGAAGTGTAATATTTCATGTCATTTCATTCATTATTTAGTACCTATTAAGTTTCTTAAAATGTTAACTTCTATTCCTACACCTTTGTTAATAATCACTCCTCAGAAAGTCTGGCCTAATATTCATTTCCCTAATTTATATAATTTCATTAATCTGTTTAATTAATCATTAATAATATTCATTCCATAGCCTATATATATTTTTTTTTTACAAAGCCCACAACCTAATTATTTATTAAACATGTAAGAGAATTGCAATACATCAAAATTTCTTATAATATCATTTCAAAATTAGTCCTTAAGGAATCAAAATTTAAGAAGCAGTGAAAGTGATCCCATGTGTTCAACAATGAATGATGTGAGCATTAAGATGAAAAGAGAAGGAAGCCATTGAGAAGTTGAAATTGTTAGAAGAAGGAGTCAAAATTTTACCTAAATCAAATTCATTCATCAAGAAGACCAGTTTAAAGTTATATCACAGTAGCCTAAACCTCAAGAGGACTCAACTCCATCATTATCTTCAAATAAGTATAACCTTTTCTTTAAATTCTTTTAAATTTCGTGCTAATTGGACTTACCTTTTGGACAACACCAAAATTAGATTTTTCATTGTTGGGATTGTGTAAGTTTAACACCTTAATTAGGCCTATATTTGGACACTATCAAATTTATTAGGGATGGACGGGATTGAATTTTTAGTTCGGGACGGGACGGGACGGGATTTTTATTTCCTTCCCGATTTTCGGGACGGGACGGGACGGGATTTTTTTCTGTGCATAAAAATTAAGTACTGTATTGCAGTTACCAAAAAAAGACATACAAAATCAATTTTTACCATTTGTGGCACTGATCTATAAAAACCAAAAAATGGGTAACAATTTACAGGTACCTATAGTAACTTGTGACTCGCGGGTCACGGGGTGATCGTCGGTATGACTCGCGGTCACGACGCGATCGTCGTCATGACTCGCGGTCACGGCGCGATCGTCGGTAGGACTCCGCGGTCACGGCGCGATCGTCGTCATGACTCGTGGTCACGGCGCGATCGTCGGTATGACTCGCGGTCACAGCGCGATCGTCGGTTTGACTCGCGGTCACGGCGCGATCGTCGGTATGACTCCGCGGTCACGGGGTTATCGTCGGTATGACTCGCGGTCACGGCACGATCGTCGGTATGACTCGCGATCACGGCTCGATCGTCAGCATGACTCCGCGGTCACGGCGCGATCGTCGTCATGACTCGCGGTCACGGCGCGATCGTCGGTATGACTCGCGGTCACAGCGCGATCGTCGGTTTGACTCGCGGTCACGGCGCGATCGTCGGTATGACTCCGCGGTCACGGGGTTATCGTCGGTATGACTCGCGGTCACGGCACGATCGTCGGTATGACTCGCGATCACGGCTCGATCGTCAGCATGACTCCGCGGTCACGGCGCGATCGTCGTCATGACTCGCGGTCACGGCATGATCGTCGTCATGACTCGTGGTCACGGCGCGATCGTCGGTATGACTCGCGGTCACAGCGCGATCGTCGGTTTGACTCGCGGTCACGGCGCGATCGTCGGTATGACTCCGCGGTCACGGGGTTATCGTCGGTATGACTCGCGGTCACGGCACGATCGTCGGTATGACTCGCGATCACGGCTCGATCGTCAGCATGACTCCGCGGTCACGGCGCGATCGTCGTCATGACTCGCGGTCACGGCATGATCGTCGGTATGACTTGCGGTCACGGCGCGATCGTCGGTATGACTCGCGATCACGGCTCGATCGTCAGCATGACTCCGCGGTCACGGCGCGATCGTCGTCATGACTCGCGGTCACGGCGCGATCATCAGTATGACTCGCGGTCACGGCGCGATCGTCGGTAGGACTCCGCGGTCACGGCGCGATCGTCGGTATGACTTCGTCTCCTGCGTTCGCGGACCTATCGCTCGCAATAACGGCGTTATCGGCACTCGCGAAGCGGAAAAATCGCCGACGATCGGACCAAATCCCGTCCCGAAAAATTCCCGAGTCAAATGTAATCCCGTCCCGATAATCGGGAATATTTTTTTCCCGAAAAATTCCCGAAATTTCGGGACCCGTCCATCCCTAAAATTTATTCATTCTTAGCATTCAAGCCAGCACGACACCCTACCCTGAGATATATCACATCTAAATTATTTCAACCTTCAAGTTATTATTTAAATTTATCTTTTATTTCAATTTAATTTCAACCCCACACACCATTGTCAATCCTTTCATTGTAACGTCAAGCCTTTTCTCATTGCATGTTAATTGTTCATTTGTTTAAATAAAACACAAATTGTAATTCATATCTTTGTTAACTTATTAACTTTAAACATTTATAGAATAGGCCTAACCTAAAATGGATATTATAAGGTGAGTTTACAGAAGAACATAAACCCCTCGAGCCAATGACCCCTCCAGTTTTTTTATTTGTGCATCCCAGCTCAATTTATCAATTTACCCCCTTACGAACAATGTTGTATCATCCGCAAAGAGGTAGACGCTGTCCGTATCTGTTATATTATTGATGTAGACTAGGAAAAGCAGAGGTCCAAGGACAGATCCCTGGGGACGCCATTGGAGATCAGTTTTTTTGTTGATGAAATTCTTTCAGTTTTTGAATTTGTGTTTTTTTGAATCTCAGTGACTTGGAATCGGTTGCTCATATAGGATGTGAGCCACTTCAACGCAAGTCCTGAGATTCCAATTGATGCCAATTTTTCCAATAGAATCGCAGGTTCGACACAATCAAAGGCTTTGGAGAGATCAGCAAAACAACCAACTACTATTTCTCCAGCCTCCATTGCATACTGCTGTTGATGAAATAAATGAGTGCCAATTTTGTTGATTTGTTGCGTCTGAATATTTATTTGAATATTATTTCATGTGAATTGATTTGGGACAAATGAAAATGGTTGTGTGGAAAAAATGAAGTCTGTAACTACTCAAAAAATAAATTCAAATATACATCAGAACTAATAGCTAATAGGAACTAGGAGCTACAAAAAAGCTCTGCTAGAGATTGGTAAGGAATATGAGAAATATCCACGATCTACTCCAACCCCCTAACAAGAAAAAGAACTCTTCCAACTTGATGAACCCCACCAATAATAACTCAACCCCAAAAAATTTACATACACCAAACTCCCCTCTTATAAATCAACCGAAAGTAACACCTAAATCAAATTCCATCACAAAAAATGTTGAAACTAGTAGTAGGCCTACTAAAGACATTGGTCCTGGCTTTCAACGCTTATTATTTTAACGTAATTATTTGAACTCTTTTTGATAGATGCATAGTTTTGGAAACAATTTAAGAACAAGTACAAATAATCCTTCAGTTACTAGAAGAGAACACTGAAGACAAAAAACTGTTACAAAAACAATGAATCTGTCCAAACTTACTTTACCCAATTTGATTTTTTAACGGTTTACAGCTTATACATTTTATAATGCATCATGTATGGCAAAAATAATATAAATCATTTTATTACAAATAAAGATATCCACAGCTATAATTCTAGGAATGAAAATAAAGTAGTATTACCAAATCATAAATTAGAACTATTTTAGAGAAAAACTTCATATAATGGTATCATATTCCTAAATAACATACCAAATCATATAAGGAGCATGCAGGATGAAAGAGGTTTCAAGGTGAAATTAAAAGAACTTTTAATACAGAGGGCACTTTATTCATTTTATGACCTCTTTAACTTTAAATAGTAGATCTTAAATTAGCTTTACCTGAAGCTGATCATGATGATTTTAGCCTTCTTAGTGAATATTGTTATTGTACGTACATCTTAAATATCTTACTTGTTTGACACTATTCATATAATTATGTATTTACAGAGATATGAATAAGGATTTTTTATTTTATTTGATTTTATGTTTTGGCAGTCATTATAATTCCGCCATCAACAGGCTACCAAAAGTATCCACTTCTTGAGGTATCATCAGAGTAAGTCATACACATTTCACAAATAATACAAAAATAAAGACAAAATAGTATGATTACAGTGGCCTATCAATTACCAATGTATACACCACTTTTATGGGTACAGGGGGGCAAAACGGATACTGTATTTCCATCCAAAACTCAAATTAACCCAAAACAATACTTTCTGCATATACTATGTATAGGGTGAGAAAGTAAAATTTAAATTTATTTGAAGGGTTTTCAATACCAAAATTTCAGTTCATGGAGAATTTTGTCCCATAACATGTTTTTGTATTAGAGTGATTAAGCTGTTTCCAATCTGGAATGATGTTGTTATGGTTGCAGATACTCTTACGACCCCTTCTCACAATCGCCCAATGAGTGCCCGGAAGCTGAGTTGGCAGTTAATGCTGGAGACTACCTCCTAGTATGGGGAAACATGGATGAGGTACAATAACTACTGTTGGCCGTAGAATTAAAAAAGATTTTGGTCATTTTGAGCTAATATAGAAAAAAATACAGTATTAGCTCTGATTATAGAACATACATAACATAGTGGTCTCAATTGTTAATAAGTAAACGTACTCAGGTTTACAATAGCTTCTTTAACATGTTCAATTCTAAAATAACAACGGCATACAATCTCCTATGGATAAGCCCCTATCTCCTTAACCTAACCTATACCAAACTCCTATGGCTTTACCAACATGGAAAAGGTATACTTTTTTATACTTTACTTTTACACTTTTCATTAAAATGGCGACAATACAAAGTAGGTATAGGTAGCCAATTATGAATGGAGATGAGTGTAGGTTGAGTGGCGCGATCTTGTAGTCTTGTTAGTGACTAAGGCCCCTATTAGCCGTGAGCAACATGTGGCGCAGCTAGTGGAGCCGCCGGTGGTGACGCCGGTGACCCACAGCGTTTGGAACCTGGACACTAGTCGCGCGACACATTCGTAGCTCGCTCAAACAGCGGAATTCACCACAACACTCTAGTGTCAAACATGACGTTGAGTGACTGCATCCACAATTTGCACGTCACTATTAGCACTAGACATTGTTTATCCAAACTAAAGACAACTAAAAACGCTAATGACACAAAAAGGAAAGAATAAACTGTTAATAAAAAGGTCACTGGTAAACAAAGTGAACAGAAGTCACCAATTAATAGAACAGCAATATGGCGAGGCACATCTTAATCGACTCAAACCATGATGTAGACTGTGTGGCATGCTTCGTTTTCACGTTAATAGCGAATGCGAGCGCAGAATGTGGCATCGCATGTTGCCCACGGCTAATAGGCTCCATATACTGCAATGCCCCCCGACTGCCTGGACACTAAAACGGTCGCGACACATGTTGCCGGGCAAAATCACTCCCGGCAACATCTCGGGCAGCTTTTTCGGCGTCGCCACCGGTCTCCCGGCGGCTAATAGGCACCATTTGACTCCATGCCCCTCTACACGTCCGACACCGGCGGCTCCACTAGCTGCGCCACATGTTGCTCACGGCTAATAGGGGCCTAAGACTGACATATTCCTTAGACATAGCTGTTAATTAATAGCCCATACAGCTAATGGCAACTAAGGGACCTACAGTTTATAGTGGAATCCGAACCATATTTTTGCCTTGGTATTAACAAATTGGTCTAATTACCAGGATAGTACTGCGGATAGTCGTAGTACTCACTAGTGCGGACGTCAATCCACACCAGGGAGTATCACATCCACAGTGCATGCCTATAAATATCCACAATTCCTGACCTCCTAGTAGCTGGATTACAGGACAACGCCACCGTCCCAGTCTAGAGTAGTATAGAGGCTTAAACTGGCGGGGCATAAAGTAACATAACAACCCCTCCCTCGTCATCAGCTATGCTTGAAGAAATGAAAAATTCTTTATTCATCCGGATAAAGTTAGGACTAACCTTCCTTACATTAACCTGACAAACATAAAATATACAAATACATACAATTACAAAGATATAACTTAATCTAATTTATATCTATATATTTAACAAATAATGCACATTTCTTAGAAAAAAAGTAATGCAAATTAAAAAGCACATACAGACACTCACGAGTACACACACCAACAATCGCGCAAAGACACAAAAGGCACACCTAGGGCACGTCTGTTGAGACCATCTGCTCAAAGTAGAGATTTCCCAATGCCTCCACAAACTAGTTTATATATTTTTTAGAGCAATGGTATGTTGACTTTTATCAACTGCTGGTAGATTAAATATGAAATAATTAAGTTTATCAGCTCAGCTGCTCTGTCAGTGCCAACTTAAGTTGATGTGCACAGTAAACATATTCATTGTTGTTATTGTTATGTGTATAGTGGCTCTATACTAAATTTATAAATTTTTACATCGCCAAAGATAATACCTTTATAATGGGTTTGAATACATCGCTAGTTTTCTGAGCTAATTAATATTCATTACAGTTACAGTTTCTTGCTAAACTCTGATGGAAAAAATGTGCACTCTTTTTATAATATTTTGACGAAAAGAAAAATTTACGGAATGCTTTTAGTACATCAAGAGTGTCGTACAAAATGAGGAGAAAATGTGTTGTTAACCTACACAAAGGGTTTCAGTAACAGTTTAAACAATTATTTCCAAAAGTTTATTATTTTTAGTTCATTTACTCATCTAGGTGTATGAGTAGTGGTCAAAATTTGGAAAGAACATAGTAAAAAAATAAGGAATGCGGGTCAGTTTTTAGATTACATGTAAATTACTTCCCGTATCAGTTACTATTTGTGAACGAGAATATCTGATTATAAGATTGATTTTTGCACAGGATGGATTCTACGACGGAGAACTGCTGGATGGTCGCCGTGGGCTTGTGCCTTCCAATTTCATACAAAAGCTGGTTGGAGATGATTTGCTAGAGTTCCACCAATCAGTGATTCAAGGCCTGAGAGATTGTGACGACAGTGCCTCAACCAACATTCCTCAAGATCTGGACTATCATCAACTTAACACAGGTTATTACTTAGATAATCTTTTGTAAGGAATTAGAGACTGAAATCTAATTTGACGTACCTTATCTCCATGTATCCATATTCTTAATTATGAAAAACCTCCACTCTTCATAAGTCATTACTTCCTAAAAGTTGAATCCTTTAGAACTCAAAGCTACAAATACATAGGCAAAAAGATGTGATTTTCATCATTCTATATTCCGATTATAGAAATACTATTGTTATTTATATTTACGTCACAATCACAATTGTATAGCACACATAAACACAATCTAATTCTTCTAAGACCATAGACTATTGGTGTGTTCTGGTGTATTCTGTCAATTTTGTTCAGGTAATTGAAAGTTTTAATATCCTAAAATGAAAAAAAAACAAATACACTTTAAAACGTACATTGTAGGAATTTAAGTCAAATAGAGATCGCTAAGTAAAATGCAAACGTTATGTATTATGTAAGGTATTATTCTAACTTCAGGCTATCGATTAAATTTACCTTAGTAAAATCACAACTACAACACAAATTCATTTCAACATGCACATATTTCTCCAAAAAAGAATTCAAGCTTCTGAAAGTATCCAATATTTCTTTGCTAGTAAATATAAACAATACCATAAATATAGTGCAATACCTTCATAGACATTGAAATGAGATTCATTTGCTAGCATTCCTTTATACTAGGGTTGGTCGAAGAGGTCTCCAACCAGCTCCCGTCCCGGCCACTTAAGCTAGTTCAAATCTGACACCAACCACATATACTTTTTCAATACATATGTTTAATCTCTAATCCAGCTAGTTCCCACACCTATACATGATTTATGCTTCGGATGAGCATAGATTTTCCTCACATCATTATCAGCTACTACAACAAGACTTATAGTTGCATATGGGTGGGAATCAGGTAGAAAAGTAGTGATTTTAGTCAAGATAACAGCATTTATATTGGATTTGAGCTAGCTTACACGGCTATGACGACAGTTCCTCATTGGAGGTCTTAACAAGGGATAAACATCGTTATTGTTGCTATAAAAATGCATTTGAATTATTTGAATGTCATACCGATTAGGCTATAAAAAACCAATTATAAGTTTTCTTTTTAGTTTCATTCAGTTTTTATTAAAGTTATGAATTCACTGTCCTTTTTTAATTTACAAATCCATTTCCAAACTTTGTAGTATGTGATTAAAATTGTTTTTAAATTTAAATATAATCATTTTAATGTTTTTAAACATAAAAGCTTTTTATTTATACTTTATTAATTAAAACAAAATCTAATTTAAATATATATGACTGACTGCAAACGTACAATGAATGTCTTATCTTAGGCTTCTTTATGTTTTATGCTTAAAAAGTTGATGCATGATTCCTTTTAGACTTCCTAGATGCCATGAACCCAGCAAAACTTTTGTAATATTAGTGGTATATATCCTCGTCCTTGATAATGAGCACTTAAGAACTCTCAGTTGTCAGAATTATCAGATAAACACCAAAATAACATGTAATAGTATATTTCATAACAAGAGTAGAAAGCGAGTCATTACATTTGAGATCATATTTAAAGTGTGAGATTTATCGAGCACTTTAAATGGTCGAGAATATGTATAGACCAACTTTCAATTGTGTTTTGAACATTACTTTTCACTTCACTAAAAAGACTAATATTATTTTCTTAATTAAAACAGACATTGGATATGTCTTTATTACAGTTAAGAACATTACAAACTCATAGCATTTTTTAGGTTATGCCTATGCCATCAATTTAAATTTAATATTTACTTTGGTTGTATAGATGTGGTTGTTGAAAATTGAAACAGTTGACAAAACATTAACAAATCTTTGTTTGTTTACGTCGGCAAAATACAATAGATATAGTAAACAATACTTTCGCATGGTAAACATTCTTATTCCGTAGTAAACAATGTAATAATGGATTTTCGCAGGTGATAAACATGCAAGGAAAACAGGTCATTTCACTGTAGTGTAGCGAAAATAATATTACAGTTTTGTAAAAGTTACTTTTTTAGTAAATTTTCCTTATAAGGAACATTAGAAAATTTCCCATGTAGGTAATACGCCATTACCATAGGTCTCCTCATGTTAAGACCTAGGCCCGGGTCCAATTTACTTTTCTCTTTTTTATGTCCCCAGAGTAAAAAAAAAACATCCGTCCAAATTCATATATAAATACATAACATTCAATCAAAAATAATCCGATTTTCATTAAATTAAGTACAAACATGTAAACCTACGTGTATTCGAACGAGTTTGTAAACTAGCATGATCAAACTATCAGTACGGGGTTTTATGAGGCAACAGTAATTTTTTTCATACTTGACCCTTGAAATATAAAATTTAGCAATGTTTTCAACCCATCATCTAGAGCTTAAAGAAACAAATAATTGTCTACATTGAAACGTTGTTGTACGCTTAATGGTTACAAAGAAAATTCCAAAACAATCTAAATTTAAAATTCTCATGTTGTTCTTATGGAGAATTAGTAAACTGTTTGCTTGGTCATGGATATATTTTGATCAAAATTGGTGAACTTAATTATTTCACAATTAGGGTTGTGGAATTCAAGCCCTTGAATACTACCCCCTCCGCGTTCACAACATCACTATGATATACAGGGTGATCAACTCAAGGAGGCCACCATTGGGATATCGGAAACGGTAAGAATTAGAGAAAACTTTAAATGGGGGACATTCCTTTATTTTTTGTGGCAGTTAAAAATATGATTTTAGTTTTTGAAAATTCAGCCGCCATTTTCCAAAATGGCGGCCAACTTTGAAATTTCTTATGGAACACCCTGTATTTTATCATGTTTTCGGATAGAACATGCAATTTAAAAACTTTTTTATTCTTGACATTTTTTCGATAAACCCACTCGTTTAGGAGTTACAGCCTATGGAAAAATGACTTCCGGTGTACATTTTACATCATGTAGCTTCAAAAAAAGTAGGTTTATATCGAAAATGCGAAGATAAAATAAATCAAATAAGTCTTAAAATTGCATCCACATTCCAAAAAGTCCATAAAATTCGTTAAAAATATTAATTCCATTATTTAAAAATGGCGGCCATTTTCCAAAATGGCGGCAAACTTGAAAAGTGGAAAACTGTGTATTTTATGGTCTTAATGGAATGTGGATGCAATTTTAAGACTTATTTGACTTATTTACTCTTCGCATTTTCGCTATAAACCAACTTTTTTTGGAGCTACATGATGTAAAATGTACACCGGAAGTCATTTTTCTATACGCTGTAACTCTTAAACGAGTGGGTTTATCGAAAAAATGTCAAGAATAAAAAAGTTTTTAAATTGCATGTTCTATCCGAAAACATGATAAAATACAGGGTGTTCCATAAGAAATTTCAAAGTTGGCCACCATTTTGGAAAATGGCGGCTGAATTTTCAAAAACTAAAATCATATTTTTAACTGCCACAAAAAATAAAGGAATGTCCCCCATTTAAAGTTTTCTCTAATTCTTACCGTTTCCGATATTCCAATGGTGGCCTCCTTGAGTTGATCACCCTGTATATGATGTTGACATATTAACATGAGTGATCTTGAGTTTGTCCGTAGTAAGAATTGAATTCCACGCCCTTTGATAACGATTACTTATGAGACTAATGAAAATGGATGTTCGGAACCTTACTCCCCTTGTATGTGGTGTCAAAAATTGCTCTTTTGCCTGAGGGGGTAAGATTCCAGAGGGGTATATTTCTGCCGGCACATTTCCTTTTACTAGTCAGTGTAATCCTTTTAGCGAATTTCCCTATAGGGAAGTAGCTATTACCGTAGGTGGCACGGTAAGACCTAGACCCGGGACCGATTTACTTTTTCATTTTGATGTCCCCAGAGGCCAAAAACACCATTCGTTCAAATTTGTATATATGTATATATATATATACGTCCGTGAACGCGATAACTTGAGTAATTTTTGTCCGATTTTGATGAAATTTGGTTTAAAGGTGTAAATCGGGATAAACTTGAATGAGTTCGCGAACCAGCATGATCGGACAATGGGAACAGGGCTTTACGGGGGGTTTTATGGGGTAAAAATTGGTTTTTTTACTTTTGACCCTCAAAACTCAAAATTTCCCAATTTATCTTTAGACCTTTTTAAAGAGCTTAAAAAAACAAATAATTTAGTATATAAAAGTATTTTTGTTTGATTATTAGTAACGGAGAAAATAAAAAAAAATTTAAATTTAAAATTCCCATGTTATTCTTATGGAGAATATTGTCAAAGGTTGTAGTTTGCTTGTTTATGGATATATTTTGATCAAACTTGGCAAATTTATTTATTTTGTACTAAGCTATCAATATTTTACTCAAAAACACACTTTATTAGTTTCCTTGTAGCAGCAAACCTAGGTACTCGTTAAACCTAAAATTATTAAAATATATTTAACTGAAAATCAATTCAGACAAATGGAAATTCGCTTAGTCGGCAGGTTTGCTGCGGCGGGGGTATTTAGATTTTTTTCTGTGTGCAACAAAAGATGTTATTTACTGTAAAATCAAGATTTTTAAATACATTTTACAGACCCATATTTGACTTTATAGGCTCTATATCCATTTTCCAAGATTTCTTGTGTCATAACTGATATGTGTTTTAAGGATTATGTATTTGAATTGTCATCATCATCATATATCTTTCAAGATCATTCATATTGGTCAAAACAACTTAAAGTATAAATATATCAAAAGTAAGTTTTAAACTTTTCAGAAAAGTAGTTTTGGAGTATTTTGTTGGAGGAAGATTTCTCATTGACTAGGGATCTCCAACCAAAATGATTTTTTAGTTCTAAATCTATTCACACTACATATTTTTTTCAATTGGCAGTCACTTGACTGCTTTACTTTTGTAATATTCTTTGTATTTAGTGACCATGGTTGTTGTACACTTTTACCTTGTGTATTGTGCACAAGCACACATTGCTGTTATGTGTCATGTGTTATGTGTTGGTGCGTGTGCATGCTGCAATGTTTTTGCAATCAAGGGAGTGCCAAGAGGAAAAACAAGCGAATACCTCCAGGCAATCGTATGTTTTGCATTTATTTCCAACTGTTCACTGTAGTTTCCATCAGCAACCAATTCATGCGCCTCATTTCATTGTTTGTTTTTAGTAATTTATCAGCCATTCTGCTTTATGCACTGCTTCTGGTTTCATAACATTTCTAGTTAATGTTTGAAAATCATTTAAACATGGGTTTTCCAAACATTAATTGAAAATAAAATTAACTCATACATTGATGGATTTCCATGCAGTTATTATTGCTACTAATATATTCATATTAGATAGTTTCACAGACCAACACAAATAATTCTTATAAAATAAACATGACTCACTCAACTATTGTCGACAAAATGTATAGAGTTGTGATAGCTAACACTAGGAAACAATAAGAAAATAACACAAATATTTGAACCTTTCTTTGTCTCCAAATTAAGGAATGAAAGTAGACAAGTAAATGTTTAACTCTTAAACTCTTAACAAGGGTTTCTAAAGAATCTAACTTAAAAAAATAAATGTTTAAAAGACCAATATAGGAAAGCAAATGTAGGTCCAAGCAAGAATCTACATCTTTTACATGACCAGGAACCTTACCATATCTTGTCACCTCTAGGGCAACTGTCCATCAGCAACTACCATTGTAGAAGGATGTTTTTGTGTTGAGGGGTACTAGGTGGTGATTGTAGTTGCTGTGAAGAGCGTCTTTAAGGACAGATTGGTTTTGTTCAGTCGCTTCCCTTGAATGAGATATTTTTTGTACTTATTTGTGTTTCTTCTCTGACTTATGAGAGTGAATTGAGGATGAGAAAGTCTATTATGGAGTATTCCTTAAGCTAGTTGAAACTAAAAAAAAAACACTATGACTGGAGATATGTTATTGTATATGTATATGCGCTGGACATATGAGCGCTCTGAAGCTTTTTGTCTTAAAGTTGTTAGTCAGATCTTTGAAGACAGAGCTATATGCTACCAATTTTTGTTTTCCATTGAAGTGACCTTTGGTTATAATACTACACACCATTGCTTGTATTAGTCTTTTTGCATGCCAAGAAATTCGTCATGCAATCTTTTAAAAAAAGTGGGGTTTCACAAATAGCTTCTAAAAGCCATGACCACACCAGCAGTATTTCTTCTTGAGTGGTGGAAGTAGCCGGAGTTGGTATCGCAAAGGCCAAAAAACTGTCATTCCTTAGCCCCTCAATTACCTTATACATATCTGCAAACCATCATAATGAAAATTGAGAACAAAAGTCACAAACCTTCGTGGACAGGTCGGTTGAAGTCAAGAGGATCGGCGTTATAAATGCACCTAGCATATTAGATCACAGAGGGAAGTCAATTACGGACCACAAGCTTATTTTTTGTGAATTGATCCTAAGAAAAGAACAAAAGAAACCAAAGATGATCAGATATAGGGATTTTTCAAAATTCAATGTTGACCAAGCGGTAAGAGAACTTTCTGAAATAGATTGGAAAAAGATAACGATCTTACAAGGAGTAAATAATATTGAAAATGCATTGACCAATGAAATTAGAAAAGTATATGATAACCACGCACCTATAGTGTGTAAAAGGGTAACCAAGAAAGTAGCTCCGTGGAGAAATGATATAATTAAGAAACTGACGAGGGAAAAAAATAAATTAAGGAATAGATATTGGAAGTCAAGAAGTGATCCTGATTGGCATAAGTATAAGGAAATAAGAAACAGATTGAATTCAATGGTCTGGCATGCGAAAAAAAGGTTTTTTACCAACAAACTGTCGACAACAAACAACAGCAAAGATTTCTGGAAATGTATAAAGAATTGCGAAGTTTATAAGAACAATTGTATAGAAACTATTGACGGTTTTGAAGCTAATGACATTAATGAATATTTTACAAAAATGGGGTCTGGTATCAAGGCTGATGAAGAAATTATTAAATTTTATATGACTAATAAACAAGATGAAACAAGAAACGAATGTCGATTTAGTGCTGTCACCGAAGCAACTGTAAAACTAGTGAGGAATCAAATAAAGTCTAAAGCTGTAGGCAGTGATGAAATATCAATAGACATGTTAAAAGCTGTGAGTCCGTTTGCTATTGAAGCAATCACACATCTTGTAAATGAGTCACTCATCAGTGGAGTATTCCCGAATGCATGGAAGCAAAGTATTGTCAGGCCATTGCCAAAAACAGCTGCACCAACTAAGGTAGAAGATCTTAGACCAATATCAATACTTCCAGCAATATCTAAAATATTAGAGAAAATAGTGATTGACCAGATATCCCAATTTATGAATGACAATAGGCTGCTACCTAAACTACAGTCAGGTTTTAGAAAAAACCACAGCACATGTACAGCTTTGACCAATTTATTCTGTGACATGATTGATGCCAAGGACAAAGGGAAACATAGCTCACTTGTCATGCTTGATTACTCCAAAGCATTTGATTCTATGGACCATAGTATGCTGATTGCAAAAATGAAATATATGGGTTTTAGTGATAGAATCACTACCTGGATTCGCTCTTACCTTATCGACCGAATGCAGGTTACCAGATTGGGTAGTGAAACATCGTATCCCCTCGTCAAAAAACGGGGCGTTCCTCAAGGTAGCTGTTTGGGGCCTGTACTTTACACGCTTTACACAGCTGACTTTCCCAGCTGTGTAAAACATTGTACTGCACACTTGTATGCAGATGATTCCCAGTTGCACTTGTCTTATGAGCCTGGTTACATGAGTGAGGCCATCGACAAGATCAACACTGATCTGGAGAACATCTCCAAATGGTCTAGCATTAATGGGCTTAGGCTAAATCCAGACAAGTGCACTGTACTTCATACTGCCCCTGTGAACCTAGTACAGACACTGAGAGATAATGGCTTGAGCATCAATCTTGATGGCAGGAGTCTGGCAGTCTGTGACAAAGCCAAAACTCTTGGCGTCATTATTGACAGAAATTTGAATTTTAAAGATCACGTCACGCATGTCTCCCAACGAGCAATAGGAAGACTGAGAGGTCTGTACAGGTTCAGAGGTATGCTGCCTGAGGCTGCAAAGCTTCAACTCATGCAGTCACTGATATTGTCAGTAGTCTACTACTGCTTCCCTGCATATGGCAATAGTATCACTAAGGAAGACATGTGCAGAATACAGCGAATTCAAAGCTCAGCAATCAGATTTGTATTCTGCCTTAAAAAATTTGATCATGTATCCCCTTTCCGTGAAGCAGCCGGGATGTTGCCCATGGAAGCCATGTGCAGGTTTTTGACGTGCTGCATGACTCACAGGGTACTGACTCTCCGTGAGCCCGACTATCTTTGCGAGAGGCTTTCTGTCCGGGATGAGGTCATACAACGTAGGACACGTCATGGTGGGAGGCTTCACTTTCCAAGGGTCACCTTGGAATTGGGAAAGAAAAGTTTCTCATATTTCGGACCCACATTGTACAACGGACTACCCGAGAGCCTAAAAACCGTTGCATCCAACAATACCTTTAAGATTAAGATTAAAAAGTTTTTAAAAGATATGCATGTTTAGTTGTAAGTGCAATAGGTTAATGACAAAAGTTGTTCTGAAAAACTGACATGTATCAGAGAAACGCTGGCTAATAAAGACGTTTTTATTTATTTATTTTATTTAAACAAGAACCATTCAAGTTAAAAAATAACAGTGTAAAATATTCTTTTACAGCATTGCTTACCAAAATGATGCTTTTGACATCTCTTTCTTGTATTGCCTTTTTGTTTCCTTTTATAGATATGTTTTCGCAACACTGGACTGATTTGCCCCTATCGAGATGCTCTAGAATGTCGAATCTTTGTTCCATTGTCACAAATATATGTTTACTTATTTCACTCTTTTTAGAAGACATTTTGTAACAGTAAGCCCGCATACAGAGCTCACATTTACTCACAAGTCACAAAATTCACCCCTGTGAACAATCTAATACTGCACAGTAAAAAACATAATGAACATAATGTGTGAAATCACGGATCAAAACACAGTGTTTAACACAACCCTTTACTGTAGGAAAATTGTAACCGATCACGTAGAAGCACCCGTAAACTAAACTACGGAAACTAAAAATTCAAGTTGAATCCTGTCAAAGGTCATTCGCTTGTGACAATGTGACTTATCTCCCTGAGACCAGCTGGAACATCCGGTGGCCACTCTTACTGAACCCGAACTAGAGGTATTCTTCTGTAATAAAAAGAGTTAATAATGCCAGTTCAAAATAAAAAAGGACAATATTTCTTAGTTGGAGACAGTGTTATATAATTAGGGTATATTTGTCGAATTGGACAAAAAAAACATTCAAAATACAGACTATAATACCTAATGGACCTTACAGGGAATCTAATAGGCCTTAGATCATCATGAAGAGGAAGTATTAAAACAACATTTTATACAGAGGAAATCAGTTAGACTAAGACTGGTTATGCATATTTGGTGGAAAAGACTTTTTAATAAAAGGGTAGAATGTTACCATAGACTAACCAACACAAGTAGACTTGTCATCCAATTGCAAATTTTGAAGCACGTTTTTCGTGTCTAGTTCATGTTCGGTGACACTGGGCGCTAGTGTCGACGAAATTTTGTTTATATTATTTTAGGGTTAATTTCTTGATTTGTGCTTTGCTGTTTGGTTATATAACTAGGGGACAAGTTATTGTTTATGATTAGATCGTATTATTTGGTTAAACAAGGTTTTAAATGACTGTAATAACTGGAAACAAATTGTAAACAAAACATGACCTCTACATAAACCGTACAGAACTAACAATAAAATTGTCTTCAGCTGTTCCATAAGGATGAGAAATCTACTTGTGGGAGTATGTTTTATCTATGATGTTACTAGTTCATTGGATTAGGTATGATAAAATTAGTGATAGATTGTTGGCCTGAGATAGTGATTTATTGGTGTTATTTATAAGAAAAAATTAACACTTTGCTTTGTTTTTAAGTATTCATTGTGTTGTTGCATAATCATAAAATCAGTTTTGCGGCTTACAAAACAGGATGCTTTTACCAGTTTATCATCAGTAATAATGTAGAAAAGAACAAACTTTGAGTTCTGTTACCAGAATTGTATAATTTGTGGTCCAACTATCTAATTTTGTGTGTTTTCCCCACAAAAGTGGGTCTGTACCATAAGGGTATGTGTGGATGCCTTCCCACCTCTCACCTGGTGACTTACTAAAACAACCCCTCTTCTTCTTGCCCTTTCCCTGACAATGAGATCACCTCTTGGTATTACTTCATGTCTAGATAAGTTCTGTCTTAATGTTTCGGTTCCTCTATTTTCTCATCATTTTCACCTTTGGATCTGCCTTCCTATCAGGTTTCAGCTGGTCTCGCTTTCCACCATGACTAAACAGATTTACAGTGTTGATGCTCTGTCGCAATGATGTGCGTTAGTTGAGTGTTTTGTTGTCTCTTTTAGCTTACTTATAATAACATTATATTTAAAGAGCTTTGATGTGAAACATTATAATGCTAAACTCATCCTAAGCCTGTTGTCGTGTACCACGTGTTGTAATAATTATGATATCAGAAAGTAGGAGGACTTGCAATGGAGATACTTGACTACTCTAAAAAGATTAATGTTCCATCAGAACAAGTAATGTATCATGAAAATATGAACAACTGTACAAGTGCAAAACCCTAAAAACATTATTTTTAGATTGAGACCTTTTCTTTATTTATGTTGACTAATTTTACCACTACAAGACCTACATGGAGAATACACTTTTCACCAATCGAGTTTAGAATATTTGTGCACTTAACCTAACACAAGTAGACGGTACAGTTTTGACAGAGATAACTATGCCAACTCTCTGCCAATCAGAGGGATGCCTTATAATCTCCCGTAGTCTTCTTATTATAATAATTATTAGAATGTTTCTGAGAAAATAATTATTTCCCACCTTGAATTTTTGTTTTTATACACATGATAATTTTAACCTGATTGTATGCATCGTGTGGAGCTAAAACGTTTTAAAATTTTACATTTGACTAAACTATTTGTATCTTTGCTGTTTCCAGGAAAAAATTTTAGTCCTAGACCAAATTTTTATTTGATACAGTACTCATCTTTGCTTCTAGTACATATAGTAAGTTTTGTTTCGCTATGTATGCCTGTATTGTAAGTATTTCTGATTTTGATATTCATCTTAATGCGTTTCATTTGCTTGCTTACTTGATATTTTAGCAACTTTGAACTATATAATTATTTCTTCATTTTTGCTCATTTTGTATAAAAGGTTAACTATGACATAAGGTGTGGTAATAGTTAAGACTTATTGTACAACCCATAACCCAACCATAAGAAATGATTCTATGTTATCCGTTTTCATACTTTACCGTTATATGTTTTTGTAACAAATTGTGAACTCCTAATTAAAAATTCTATTTTATGTTTAAGTTATATTATTTGATTGGAACGGGTAACTTATTTAAGTAGTTTTACTTATTCTTCCTCTTTTGTTTCTACAAATATAACATAAATATAGGGTTTACGCTTTCCCTCTTTTTGTATTTTTATATGTTTTGTCTAATATTTGGGTTTAGTACAGGGTGACTGCCGGGAACCGGACGTTTTTTAAATGAATAGTACAACCTTATTTTATATAGTAAAATTATTTAATTGTTGAATATATATTGGTGAAAACATACCATTTCAAAAAACATATGTTTTATGGAACCTTTTATCCTAGTTTGGGTTTATTTCTTAAAGATGATATCATGCATATGATGGCCGTTAACCTGGATACAGGTTTCCAACCTCTGGAGAAAATCATTACGCACTCTCATCAACATGTCTTGCCCAATCAAATTCACCTCTTCGGTGATTGCATCTTTTAGCTGCAATAATGTTCGTGGTTTGTGAACATAGACACGAGCTTTCAAATACCCCCATAAGAAATAGTCACAGGGCGACAAATCTGGTGACCTCGGCGGCCACGGCACGTCACCAAAACGTGAAATCAACTTGCCAGGGAACATCTTCTTCACAACTCACATCGATGCAGCGGCAGTATGTGCTGTGGCCCCATCTTGTTGGAAGTAAACATTTTTCACGTTTATTCCTCGCCTCCGAATTTGTGGCTTTAGATATGTTTCCAACATATGAACATAGCGTGCAGAATTCACTGTCACTGTGACTCCATTTTCCTCAAAAAACTTCGGGCTCCTCATCAAAGCAGTTCTCACTGTGGCGATGTTGTCTGGTGTTCTCACTGTTCTTGCTGGACCGGGTGGCTTTTTCTTTGATACTGTTCCTGTTTTTCTGAACTTGTGCACCCATCTTAGCAATGTATTCCGGCTTGGAACCGTGTCATTTCGCGCAATATTAAAGTGGCGTCGGAAGATACGCTGTGTTTTTGATAACGGATTCGCCATTTTTAATAAATGTGTCATATGCAAAAACACGATGCTGCACTGACCACTGATCCATCGTGACTAAAATGGTAAAGCTCACTCAAAACAATGACATAACCTCAATCTCCCTAGCACGTGTAGCAACAATGTAACAGCTGTTGCAAATTCGTCCGGTTCCCGGCAGTCGCACTGTATTAAAGTTGTATTTTAGACTCTGCAGATGAATTTTGAGCATTATGCTTAGGTAATTTAAACACTCATCTGCACCAAATAGAGCTAAGATCAATGAGATAATTATATCTAAAATAAGACATGCCATCTGGCCAAAACCCCTAATATAAAGGATAGTTCGCTTAGCTACTGTATTGTACTGTACTGTTCAATACCCCCACAATACCTTCTGCACTGTATACAGAACATCATATTTGTTGATGATATTTTCGGTTAATTTTTTTCTTATGATTTCTAATCTGCATTTCATTATTTGCCAATAATATATTAAGAAATAAGGAACAGATACATAATTAATTCACCTAAGAAAAAAGTTATAGGCAGTTGAGAATCCACTACTTGTTAACAACACATAATTGAACTTCTCCATTTAAATTATTTTTGATGTTTAGTTTGTATTAATTAAAGGAATGGTTGCAGTTTCTTGAAGGATAATTTATGCAACAATTCCTCTTATTAAACTTGATGTTTCACCCCTCTAAGGTGGTGGCCTCATTAGAAAAAAAATTAGTAGAATGGCTGTTACCAAACGTTCTAAACCAGCCTTGTTGTTTCTTTTAAAAAACTAACCTTTGCTAGGAACAGGTAATTAGTGAAATATTTTTAAAAGTCAGCTTTGTTTGGTAAAATGAATACCATAAAAGTGGTATATATTGTGATGAAAACAGTTACTAAGCAGTTGTTGTCTTGGTTTCAGAAGAATACAGCAAGAGAGTGGTTCCTGATATGGATCTAGCTGATGCTTTGGATGATGAAGAAGAAGACACTCATTCAGGTGAAGGCCCAGGTAGCTATCATTATATAGAAATAGATTTACAGTAGCATGATGTTATATACTTAGTTCCCTAAGTCCTCTTTTAATCTATCATTCAGTCACTGTCAACTGGACTCATAACCACACATGGCTATTAGAAATTTAAAAAAATACCTCCGCCGCAGCAAGCCTGTTGACTAGCTTTTACCTTTACCGGTTCTTTATCGTTGCCCAGCCATAGCTGGATAGATTGCGTTACAAAAAATTAAAACTTTAAAACTTTGACTATATACACTATACAAGGGGGTGGATCATGATGTCCAAACTGAGTCAGGGGTTTCAAAAAATTCCCTGATGGAGTAAAGGGGCCTAGTCTTCAACTCCCTAGACATGTGCGCTACAAACGCTTTAACTGTTAGGCCTCTGATCTCAATACTGAGACCATTATACAGCTTTATGGCCAGAGTGGGGGAACTATTTGCAGTCTTAAATCTATTAGCAGTGCTGACTAAGCAAACTTTAATTTGTCTGATTGGTTTTGCACTAAAGTTTCCCCTTAAATATGTTAGGTTTATTTAAATAACATTAGGTTTAGTCATTACTTAGGTTTGCTACTACAAGGAATGTCATAAAGCGTGTTTTTTTTTTATGTAGATAGCTATAAAATAAATGAATTCCCAAAACTTTTTCAAAATATTACAGTTTCTTATTCTCCATAAGATTTACAAGGGAAAATTAAATTTATAGCTTTATTGAATTTTATTTGTAGCCATTAAAAATGCTTCAGTATACAAAATTACTTTCTTTTTGTTAGCTCCACAAAAAAAAAACCACAACAAATTATATTTTGAGTGTCAAAACCGTGTTCTCCATAGTCCGATTATCCTGGTTCAGGAACTAGTTGGAATGAGCATAGATTTACAATTTACATGTTAGTACTGAATTTCATCAAAATTGGATGGTTTTTACTCAAGTTATCGTGCTAACCGACACACACAGATATTAAAGGTAAAAGCCTGCTCTTATCCATTGATGATAATAGTTCTTATACAGTAGGCCTACATTACCAATGTTGTTTTCACTTTACACTTTAATGGTATCGGCTGAAAATAATTAGCTTATGAAATTCGTTAAACTGTAGGTGTCTTAAAACCTTCTTTATGGTTTTTTTTATTTATTTTTTTTTTTTAAAGGTACTTATGGTTTATTTTCTTCATGTTATCTCAGTAATAACTGCGATCAGAACTCAGTAAATATTTAATATGTTTTTGCCAGGTATATTGCATGCAAGAAGATTGCATTCATTTCATGTATAGCTGCTTGTGCCTTGCATCACATTCTGTTATAGGTCTGCTCATGTTCTTCCTAGATTTTAACTACCTACATTGAAACTACCTTTTTTTTCTTGTCAAGATTATATTCTTTTAATCAATACAAGCTATTATTTCATAAAGCTGTTCACATGCTATCTAAAACATGTTGTTTCCATTGTCTCATAAATCTAATTATCTCCATATACCAAAATATTAACTACTTATCACCTAACAAGATGGTTTGTATGAAAAAAAACTGCTACACATGAAGCAGTTCAAAAAATAAACACTCAGCAAGTTTACATTTAATTACTCACTCTCAAAACAGTAACAACTAATTGAAAATTTTGCTTTTTCATATCAAATACGAGTTTTAATAGATATTATTTTTTTAAATAAATAAGTTTCTTAAATTTTTTTGTAATTTTTAGTGGTTTGGCTCATATAAAATTTATATTTGAATAATAATGTGTACTGATCACAACATAGATAATGAGTAATGACCAAACCATATTGATCAGCTATACAAATTCTGCTTACTATATTATTCAAGATGTATCAATCGGTAAAAATGAACAAATCTGCTGATACAATTGGTATTACAGAATACAGACCAAACCAAAACCTTTGTGATTGCCATTCTTTTATTTAAAAAACACCAAGTGCATTCTACAGAGTACAATTGTGTTTTTAAGATTGCTTAAGAATGGATTATCAGTATTTACTGTTTATTTCCTTGTTAATGTCAAACACTAGTTGAAAACCATTGAGATATGCATTATTATTCCATCTTTACAAAAGTAACCATACTATTAGATTACCTTTTCATTGTTGCCTGTTCTTAAATAAGATGTTTGGGTGTCACCCTATGCACATTTTGTTAGGTTGTGTGGCATCTTCAAGGGGCCTTCTTAAGCTATCTTCTTCTTCTTATCACTACAACCATTACAAATCTTGAAATCTATTTACACATGTCACTGTTATCTCGGTTGGGATGCCGGGAATGGCATTCATTCTTTTGTTTATATACCTGTAAATTACAACTTAGATACACAATAATACAAAAAAAGAAGAGCATAATAAAATCCATGTCCATAAACAACATGCAAGCCCAATATCATCGCCATGTTAACTAACAATCAACTGGAAGTGGCTTGTACAAAATTGTCTGTAAACTACCATGTAACAACCAATACATAGGCTATAAAAACCCAACAGATCATTTGTTCAACAATTTAAAGAACATAATACCAGTCTTCGTAACAACCCCACATAAGTGGTAGCCAAACACATCAAACAAAACCCAACTCACACATTTCCCAATTCCCTTGTGATTCTTAACAAAACTCACTCAAAACCATTAGCGAAAGTACAAGAAAGATACCAAATATACAAACATGTAAAGATAAATGGATATAAACACCCCCTATAAAAGAATTAAGAAAGATTATACTAGCTCAACACTTTTCAAACTAACCCCTGTTCATTCAACTACAAATTCCAACAGTAATTAACATTTATAAATTTGACTCTGTATCATATATTTTAAAAAATCCCGACCTTATCAAACAAAATTCTCATGTTCATAATACAAGGAATAAAAACGTTGCTACCATAGATTTTTTTAGACTGTCTAAAACTCTTATTGTCTCTTACTCTTACTCTCTCTAACTCTTAAAGTCATATTGTAATCTCACTAAAAATATACAACAAGCTACATTTAATAACAAAATATCCTAAACAAACTTTTAAATCTAAATTCTACAAATGGCTTTTGAACAACCCTTTTTATTCTCTAAAAGATTTTTTTGAAATGCCTTTTATTAATTTTTAAGTAGAGCTAGCAAATTTACCAAATTACTGTTGGATTTAGTTTGTTATGGGGTTTAATAACTTCCATTATTCCAAACGCCTTGCATTTTTCTTAACAATAAGATTATTTGGTTGTAATATTAAAGTATGTATTGTAACATGTCTCCTTGTGTGTAGTATTCTTGTAAATATTTTATATTGTATTAATTAACTGACTATGCTAGTTTTAGCAGTTTTCGGACATTGTCAATAATTTGTATAAATTCACAAGACAATAAACACATTTCATTTCAATATACAACATTGAAACTGACACAATAACTGGAAACACATCAACACCCCAGCAATACTACAGAGATCAAAGCAGCTGCCATAAACCTGGAAACCCCAACAGTAGAGGGTGAACTGTTGAACAGCTCAAATGCCAACACTTCCAGTCCAAGAAGTGAAACAGAGGAAAAAAGACCTCCTGTCGTCTCCTGGACTTGATTGATTGGGATACCAGTGACATGTGTAAATATTGTTGTATATATAGCCACTGTAGTCTTATTAGTGTTAGTGATAAGAAGATAATTTAAGAAGACCCCCTGAAGATGCCACACAAGCTGGCGAAATGCATAGTGTGACACTCAAACATGTTACTCAAGAACATAGACAACAACAAAAAAAGGTAATCTAATATAGTTTGCGTTCTTGAACCTGGCATAGTAAAAAAACATATAAAGTAACAATGAATCATAGCACGTTAAAATAATAAACGATATCAGCAATCTGACACATACTTTCTCCCATTAGCTTGTCAACAATCCTATGATATTTTCACTATGAGGGAAAATCACAAAAGTAACAACAACTTTTGAACCATAATTTTTACAGCAATGGGTGTTGCGCTATTTTGTTTAGAATTATAAGAACCATAACATACAAATTTTTATCAAAACCTGGTTTTTTAATAAGATTTTTTGTTATTTTATGGGGTTTTTATGGGAAAATAACATTAGTTACAATAACTTTTGAACCATAGTTTTTCCAGCTATGGGAGTTGTACCATTTTGTTTGTAATTTAAAGGGCCGTAACATACAGAAATTGCATCAAAATTGTTCAGGTCGTTTTTGATTAAATTTGAATTGTCTGTTAATTTATGGGGTTTTATGGAAAAATCACCATTAGAAATCTAAATTTCAAAAAAACAAAAGAAACACCTGGAGATACCATGGAATAGTACGAAATTTCATCAAAATGGCTCTGTACACATCCACACCTACAGACACACACACAAACACACACATCACTTCGAAAACAATTTTTTTTGTCCAGGGGGACTCAAAACTCAAACTCAAATTTGACAAAAACAATACTTTCTCCGTATACTATGTACACTGTACAGCATAAGGGGAGAAAGTAAAAATATAAAAATTTTAATCTGTTGAATTATTTAATTAAAACAACCTCTCTTGATGAAATAATAAAGTTTTTTTTCAAAAATAAGTTTTATATTATGATCTATAATCTATATTCAAATGCTCGTTATTGTTTTTAAGGTATTTTGGAAAGGAAAATAGGAATTTAGGGGGTTAGCGATACACAACAAACTTTACACAGTACAAGTATTTTGTTCTAAACAAAACTGTTTCAAAGAGTAGACTGAAGATAAGATAATTTATTTTTCTTTTAATGATCCTTTTCTATTTACTCTCTGAAGGAATCATATAGACAAAATACCGGTATTGCTGAGTAAACGTTTTTTTGCATCTTTTAGTCTCTGGACAGGTCACTTCCTTGTTGAATTCCTTTCCTCTACAAAATACAAAATATTCCAAAATTAGCCACATGGTTTTCCCCTTTTTTCTTTTATTTTTTTCAATGTAGACTATTTTTTAAATTTATCTCCAATCAAAGTCAAACTTTATTCACACTTGATAAACTCAGCTTTTATATTTTAAACTGACTTAAATTTAAGTAAAACTCGTACAAGGTTTTAGAAACCATATATTAACAGCATTCACTCATTTACATTCTCTTCGCTTAGTTTCCTCACCTCATGCTAAGCTAAGCTAATGAACGTAGTGCAACTCTGTAGTAATGTAGCTGGGAGGGGTGCAATGTGCCGAGTGTGAGCTTAGCTTAGCTTAGCTTAGCAATTGTAGTTTAGTGGTTATTTCTGGTGGTCAGACGTGTTCTTCTCGCTACTAGTACCCGCCCCGAAGCAACTGACGTTGGAGCGGCAACTCAACAAGAGCGTGTTGATCGGATGGAATCCTCCAGACACTTCGACGTCACCCCCCATCGACTGTTACCACGTCTACGTTGACGGAGTGCTCAAGGTCACAGTCAAAGCTACTGAGAGAACCAGAGCTCTGGTGGAGGGGGTCGACTCTAACAGAGTAAGTGTTGATACTAGAAAAGTTGTACAAATCTTGTAAATTCGAATGACATGTCTCCCTCTACTCTAAATACATGTTTAAATGAGATCTAACGGTGGTTTAAGAGATGACTGTTCAAAAACACAAAATCAATGGTGGTGAAGGATGGGTTCTAATGTGTGTGTGCAACCCGCTCGCCACTCTAGATCATTCGATCCTTACAAAATTTATTGATGCTTGTGCCGGCATGAAGTTGTTGTCACTTTTTGTGAAAAGGTTCTCTTTAATACAGAGAATGAAATTTTCAATTCAATACACACCCCAAGTCCAATGCTGTAATTTCAGTGTTACTAACAAATAAATTACACAAAAAAAACTTGCAACCAAAAGAATGTAAATGCCATCAATTCACTTTATGGACACAAAATAAATATTTAAACTATTGATTGCGATAATTCTTAATTATTAAGAAATTAAAACATTAAGTTGCTTGCATAATGGATTTAGATTGTTCTTAGTCATGGTATTGTAGGTTTTTGGAGGTTTTATTTTGTGGTAAGTTTCTCCTTATAATTGACAAGTGATGCATTGAAACACCAAATATCCATACTATGATTAACTGAATCGATGTTTAGATTTGTAAGTAATATTTAAGAAGGCAGATTAAGTGAAAGTGAGGGAGGTAAAAAGATGTATAGATTATGTCTAGTATTCAACACATTGTCTAGTGTCCACGGTACCACAGTACATTCAACATTTCTGTATGGTATTTTATTTACAGCAGCAAAACAAAGAGTTATCAGAACCCTCTCAAGTTTAGCCACTTTTCTCACCACTGATTTACAGTCACTGTGTTTTGCATCTGCCTATCTGTGGTTGTGTCTACACGTTTCGTATTATTTCGAGCAACCCTAGTAATAAAATAACTATTTTCAATGTATGTTATGTTTGAATCCCAATTGTAATCCGACCTTATTAATTTAAACTATCGAAATTGGCCTGATCCCCAATTGAATTTGGATAGTCATATTTCTACAGTACCTATTTATATCTCTAGTGTAAAAGCAATAGTCTCAGCAACATGGTCAAAGTCCATATTTTTCTCAAACACTTCTTGGAGTTAAAAATTGCAATTTAGTCCTTAATCCTTAAAATTATTTACTATTGTTATAGTTTGATTCCTGTGTAGTAAAATACTGTTATACTTACCATAAATATTAGTTAATTTGTAAACTTTTCTTCCTGCATTTTTTTATGAAACAAAGAAGTTTACAACAACCTTTGTTTTTATTTGGGTGTAGATTACTTATTACTAGACTGCCACAATACAAGAGGCTGTATCATCCAAGGTGCTGCAATTCCTTGGAACTCTGAACTTAGTTCGGAAAATTTCTGGTTTTGGCATATAAAATGGTGAAAAGACTTCCGAATTGAATGTGCAATTTGCAAAACTCGCTGATAGAAAAATAAGGCAATTGTCTTTTGGTGATAAATTTTTATTCTCTGAAATAATTCTTCAATGACCCAATCCTAGACTAACACCCATACATTGTCTTTACCAGCCACATCATAATTTATTTTTTTTTATATATATTGTTTGTAAATATTATATACTGTGTGTGAGTGAATAAAAAGTATTCAATTATTGCGACATGATCTACATAGATAATCCAATGAAGGATTGCTGTTTAGTAATAATAATGTCAGAAGGTACATTAGCTGTGAATTTTGAGCAGATTCTTATCATCTATACATAATCCATCAAATTGACTTTTGCGTTGCAGCCCCATAGGATAAGTGTGAGGTCAGTGACGGCTAATCGCAGGACGTCCAGAGATGCTGCCTGTACCATGGTGATAGGCAAGGATGTTCCCTTGGGCCCGTCACAAGTCAAGGCTAGTCGTGTGACTGCTACGTCAGCTGTCATATCATGGCTACCGAGTAACAGTAACTACCAGCACACTGTCTGTGTTAACAACGTAGAGTTACGCACTGTTAAGCCAGGGGTCTACCGTCACACTATCACAGGTCAGTGATTCTCACCTTTAATTCACCAGTTCTGCACACAATCGGGAGTTAAGTGTTCTACTAAGGTTGCAGGTTGATTGATTGATTGATTGATTGATTCTGTAGGGGCGGACCTTGTCCTGTTGCACGTCAGCCACTGATGGACTTTTTGCGCTCCCCACATGGTACTTCAGAGTCCGTCAAACCTGAGTTGCTTAATGAACTCCAGCATCCTGTCAATGAGCTCCTCCTGAGGAAGGTGTCTGCCCCTTGTCATTGCACCAAGAGTACTGTCCCTTACCTCATTCAGAGCTGTGCAGTCGTAGAGTAGGTGATCAGCAGTCTCCTCTGATTGCCCACATTTCCTACACGCAGTGTCACCATTGTGGATCCTCAAGCGATGCAGGTGTAATTTCAGAAAGCCATGTCCAGTGACCATTCCTGTGATCTGTCTGAGTCGCCTCCTGTCCAAGCGTAGGGCATTGGAGGCGACCCTCTGGGAAGGGGAGAAGAGGGTGAGCTTACTTACCCTATGGTGCTGAAGCCTAACCCATCTTTTCCTGTGTTCCTCCTGAGCCCATGCCATGACTGAGTGACATGCATGCTCACGAGAGATTCCACAGAAAGGCTGTGGTCCCACGAAGTCTGAGGCTGACGCGACATTTGCTAGCCTGTCAGCCACCTCATTCCCTTCTATCCCTGAGTGCCCAGGAACCCAACAGAGCGTTACCTTGTTGCGCCTGTCCAGGTCACATACCGCAGAAAGGCAGTCCCAGACCACCTTAGAATTGAATTCATAGGAGTCAAGCGCTTTGAGCGCAGCCTGGCTGTCTGTAAAAATGGAAATGTTGATGTCCCTGAAGCCTAGCCTCAGGTTTTCCCTAGCACATACCATAATCGCAGTCATTTCGGCCTGGAACACAGTTGGGTGAGTGCCCATAGGAAGACAAATGTCCACCCCGTTCTGCACTCCATTAATTCCAGCCCCAGTCCCACTTCTTACCTTAGAGCCATCAGTATACCATTCAAGGTCGCCTTGTGGAAGAGGATTCCCACCGGACATCCACTCATCCCTGGACGGAAGGAGGACAGTGAATGGTCTGGCGAAGAAGAATCGAGTCGGCATGTGATCCGAGGGCATGTCCATTACCTCCCCTCTTACCTGCTGAGTGATCCGAGAGTGACCTCGGGATCCTCCAACATCCAACCAAAGGTTTTCACACTGGAGTCTGTAGGCAGTCCTCCTCGCAGTGACCTTGACATACAGGTCAATCGGAGTGAGGTTGAGAAGGCAGTCCAGTGAGGCTCCCGGACAGCTGCTCATTGCGCCCGTGATGATGAGACAGGCGAGTCTTTGGACGGCAGCCAGATCCCTCACCGCCGACACTGAGTCCATCTTGGGCCACCACATGAGTGAGCCGTATGTCATGGCGGGCCTTACCACGGAGACAAATAGCCAGTGCATGAGCACCGGCTTGAGCCCCCAGGTTCCTCCCACCATCCGTCTGCAGGCCATGAGTGACCACTTACCTCGATCAATGACCTTTTGGAGTTGTGGCCCCCATTGCAGCTTTCGGTCCAATACCACCCCCAGGTACTTTACCTGATTCTGCATTTCAAGCACTGTGTCTTGTAGTCTCAGAGGTCCTATGCCATTTAGATCGTGCCTCCTCGTGAAGGGGATAACCGCCACTTTGGAGGGGTTGATAGAAAGGCCTACCTCTGTGCACCATTGTCCAACTGACCTCAAGGCTGTGTTCATGAGGTCGGAGACCGTGTTATTGAATTTACCCATAACTAGTATCACAATGTCGTCCGCGTATCCTTGAACGAATACACCACTATCACTGAGAGATCTAATTAAGTCGTCCACAACAAGGTTCCAGAGAAGAGGAGAGAGTACACCCCCCTGTGGACACCCTCGTGTGGTCCTGGCCTCCAGAACCTCATTGTGAAGAAAGAGTCTTACCTTCCTCCTCTTAAGTAGAGACTCTACCCACCTGCACACCACCTCATGGAATCCACGAGCTCTGGCAGCATTGATAACAGCCTGGGTTTCAGTGTTGTCAAAGGCGCCCTCCCCTGGATGTCAAGGAACGCCCCAAGGGCAATCTCCTTGAACTCAAACGCCTTGTCGATTCTGCTTACCAGGTGATGTAGGGCAGAGTCACAGGATCTTCCTGGGGTATAGGCGTGCTGGTTTCTATGTAGGGGATTGACTCTGAGGACTGTGTCCCCCACATACCTCAGCACCAGTTTCTCTAGGGTCTTCAACAGGAATGAGGACAGAGAGATGGGACGGAAGGACTTGGGATCCGTGTAACTTGCCTTACCAGGTTTTGGGATGAAAACCACCCTTGAGATGCTCCAGGCCGGGGGAATGTGTCCCAGGGCCAAGCTGGCCCTGAACAACTTACTCATTGCCGGAAGTAAAATATCGATACCTTGCTGGAGACAGACAGGTCTTACCTCGTCATGTCCAGGTGATTTGTATGGGATGAGTGACCCTATGGCCCATCTCACACGACTGTGTGTCACAATGTGGCACGCAACCCTCCACCGAGTGTTGTTTGCCCTTGCGACAGCTTGTTCCTCATCCTCCGGCACAAATGGCTCGCTTGGGATGATGCAGCCAGGGAAGTGGGTGGCCGCCATGAGCTTTAGCACTTCCTTAGGTTCATACAGCATATCTCCCCCAGGCTCCTTGAGGGGGCCTAGCTTGGAGGAGTTGTCCTTTGTTAGGACAGTGTATATCCTAGATGTATCTCTAACACTTTCTAGCTTGCTACAGAAATGTTTCCAGGAGAGCCTTTTGGCCCTCCTTACAGCCATATTATATTGGGTTAGCAATCTGTGGTAGCCATCCCAATTATTTTTCCTCTTCGCCCACCTGAACTGAGACCTGACTCTCTTTTTCAGGCTGGCGAGCTCTGTGGTCCACCAACTCACTTTACCCTGCTTCCTCACCGTTAGCGGGCAGCTCTCGTCAAAGGACGTGACAATGGCCTCGCCTAAGCTCCCAGAGGCAAGGTCTAGCGTGTTGGTGTCTCTGACCCAAGGGAACTGTGTGTCAAAGCATTCAATGCGCTCTTTAAGAGTTGATCTGTACATATCCCAATCTGCCTTTCTGGGATTCCTGAACTCAATCTTTTCCAAGGAAAAGTTACCAATGTTGAACATGATATGTCTGTGGTCAGAGAGGGAAGGTTCCTGGGATACCCTCCAATCCAGAATTCTGTGACTGATCCCCACGTTGGTTATAGTAAGATCTATTACAGATTCCCCAACCCTGCTATGAAAAGTTGGTTCTGAACCGACATTAGCAATCATTAGACCATTAGAGGCTAAGTATTCAAGAAGTGCCTTACCTCTTGCGTTATTATCCCTACATCCCCAAGCAGTGTTGTGGGAGTTGGAGTCACAGCCCAGCACGAGGTCGTCGCCGGTCCTGGCCGAGTGCTCGACCAGCTTCCTGACTTCCTCTTGCGGAGGCTGCGTGGGCTCATCTTGCGGCATATATACTGAAGCAAGTAGAAGACGCCGTCCGGACTCCCTGCATTTGGTCTCTACCGTCGTGATGTCTCTGGAACAAAATTCCAGAACCGGCACACAAATGGTGTCATTACTAGTCCAAATGCAGGTTCTAGGATTCCGGACCTGAGCCGAGAATACCTGGCCCCTAGAGACCCCCATTCCCGTTATATTGCCGTCTCTAACCCAGGGTTCCTGGATAAGGGCAAAGTCAAAAGCCCCACCCGCTGTACTCGCACAGAGTACCGCAGTGGCAGCTTTACTGTGCTGTAGGTTCGCCTGCAGTATTCGGATCGTCATCAGGAGCACCTGAAAGAACCTTGAGCTGAACCTTGAGCTGAACTCTTGTTATACCCAAGAAAATCCTCCAGCCCCTGTCCCTCAGGAACTTGGCACTCCCGCAGTCAATTGCCAGAACCAGAGTTTGGTGTTCCGCCTCTCGCTTGCAACTGACCACTCTCCAGTCTCTGGTTGACAGTCCAGGATTCAGCTTCTGGACAAACTCAAAGATTTCTTTAGGATCTTTCCTGGCCAGGATCCAGTCGGTATGGAGAAGGACCTTGGTGGTACGCAGGAGATCTCTATGATCCCCCACAATCACACTCGGCCCCCCCACGCCCACCGGACCCAGACCAACAGCCACCTCCTTGAGCCAATCTCTGGTCTCCTCGTTTCCGCACAAGACTGCGAGGGCACCTTTGTCCTTGTAGGTTTTCAGGATCTGCTGAGGAGTGGCGGCCATAATAACCATCTCAAACAGTTTCTCCTGTAACAAGCAAAATTGTTCATCAGTGAACCTATCGTCAGGATAGTTCTCCAGAACAATCGCCATCTTCCAGCCTGAAAGTTGGTCCTTGAAGGTCAAGTCCTTGCTGGCATCGCCCTCTGCAGTGCTCCTTGGCGGCGGGGGTGGGACATCCCACCTTCTCGGCCGCTTTGGGGTCTGCTGAGTCTGATGCTGCTGCGGTGGACCTGAAACTCTACGCATAGGAGAAATACCAGAGCCCTCTCCTCCAGCAGGACTAGGAGTTTCAGCCTGCCTTTTTCTCTTGGGCTTGTTGACAAACCCTTTGGATTTTTTGTACTCAGCTTTTGAAAGCCAAGTACCCTCAGCCTCCTTCCTTGCCCTGACCTGTGTCCTCCACACACTAGGGGGTAAAGATGGCCGTTGTCTTCTCTCCTGTTCTGGAACAGTTGCACATGCCTGGGTCTTTACGCTCAGATCCGGTGTTGCCACCTCAGAGGTAGAGCCCAGGGTTAGATTTGAATGGGCGCTTGAGTCAGCCACACTACCCGCCAAAGCCCTGTGTGCTTCCTCAAGCATTTGAATGTCGTCGATACCAAGATTTTGTGGAGATCTAGCAATGAGGGAGCTCCTGGCAAAAGCCTCTTTGCCCCCCTCCACCTTCGTCTCTGAAACACTGTCTGATAATTTGCCCTCCCCAGAATCCATGGACCAGCCCTCCAAGATGGAGGGGTGGGATTCACGCCTAGGCGCTGACCCACCTGGGGTATTTTCCGTAGTTTGATTAGCAGACATCATAGCTTCTGAAACAATACCAGGTTAGCAGTTTGAAGACCGTACCGTGTTCCATACACTCCGCTCATCAATACCTACTCCAGCACCGCTGCACACATACCAGAACTGGAGAGCAGTGCAGCAGCCTTACCGTGATCCATTCACTCCGCCTGCTGCTCAATTGACACTGAGCCCGGACCGGTGTCCATCACCTCGGCCTCAGGTCATACTAGCGTCGCTGCTCCCCGACCCTAGGGCAGACATTCACTCTGCCACCATAGATCCGCTGCCTTTAGTGATAACAGTGGCACCCCATGTAGGCTGTGACTAAAGGACACAGTACAGATTAACTGACTCACAGCAGTCTTGAGGGAAGGGTGCCACAAGGGCCCACATCCCCCCTGAGGGGCTTACGCTTACCTCTCGCCACCAAGGTTGCAGGTTTGATCCTGAGAAAGTAAACTGGACCTATCTGCCATAACCATTGACTAATGGGGTAAATTAATAGCCCTGACTAAAAACCGGCTGATCTTCATAACAAAGCTATCATCTCGTCCTAAATTCATCCTTCACCCATCTTTGCAATTAAATGTTGTTGTCAGCTTTCTGTTGTGTTGGTGTCACATAAATCCAATGACCAACTCCAGAGTGTCTACAGTTACATACTGATTTTAATTGAAATTCACAGATATTTATCAAGGTTGCAGGAATAAAATAGGCGAATTAGTTATTTTTTCCATCCCCTAAAATAGAAACAACAATGAAAACGTGGTATATTTTTTCATAAATTTTGTATTTAGTAAAGGAAATCTTAATTGTTGAATGCATTATAATTCAACTTTTAAATTTCAAAAGAGATTAAATTCTCCTATGACTTTCTGTTCAACCATCTCTATATATTAGTGATGGGTCGGTACCACTTGTTCAATGTTACCCCCCAATGAACACCGTACTGGTAACACAAGCATGCACGTGGGGGTATGCCAGACCAGGGTGGTGATAACAGGTCAATGACTTGGTTAAGGCTAACAACCCTGTGACCAGATGATAGCATATGCTATTTTAGGCAGCTACTGTTATGCTCACCAGGGCTGCCCCCATACTTGTAAAATTATGACAAAATTACCATACGTGGGGGTATGTCATACCCCCGGGCACGCGTTAAGGGTTAACTAACTAACACTGAAATAATCATCCTATAGCCTACTATTGATAATATTTCATGATAAATATGCCCTTTCAAATAGCCTCAAGTGAAAAATAATCATCATGGTTGACAATTTGAATTTCGTAAATAAAAATATAACCAATTAACTTGGTACCAAAATTGTCGGTACTGACATTTCAACATCGATTTTCGGTCTCGGTGCTTTTCCCAAGAACCGGTGGATCCTACATTTGACGTTAAGTACCGACCCATCACTACAATATATTATATTGTAATGCTGTGTTACTATTTTCTGATAAATATTTCAGAGGAATAAGGAATATTTTGTCAATACTTATTCTAAAGTATATTTTTTGCATGTAATTCAAACAGAATGGTCCTTTTATGTAGGTTGGTTTGAAAAAGGTTTCTGTTATCAAAATTAATTTTAATAATTTTTACTAAAAGACAGTTTGTTGCTTGCAGGATTGGCTCCCAACACGGTGTACAGAGTGACCGTCAGAGCCAAGAACATTCGAGCGCCTCACTTTGACGAAAAAACAAACATCTCCATTGAAAGATACTCCTGTCATATAGATTTCCGCACACTTCCTAAAGGTAATGTCTATGAATTGTAATGTAGTAATTTGATTGCTGGTAATTTCATGTATTTTTGTTTAGCCATACAAAATGGCTGGCTTTTGTGTAGCATAGCAGGTTCTGTCTTCTAGTCCAGTTTTTCAGGTATATATTATAAAGATGAATAGGTAATATACTATAAATATTTTCAGTACAACTAAGAAAAAAATGAAAATATGACCACGATACACAATTATCATTATACAAATATCACCCTAATCATAAAATACAAAGAACTGCAAATGACAATTTTTCATGTAAACACTAAAGGTTTTATGTAGAAAGTATAAGATTAAGACTTTAACATAAAAAAATACACAAATGGTCATAACCAATAATTGAAAGTTCATCATTCATATTTTAAAAAATTAGGGATGGACGAGATTGGATTTTTAGTTCGAGACGAGACGAGACGAGATTTTTTATTTCTCATAAAATTTCAAGACGAGATCGAGACGGGATTTCCCTTCTCATACACAACGGGAAATGCACGTTCAAAATTTTTACCTGATTTTGTAACATTGTTAGATGACTGTTTAAATACAAAAATAATGATAATAGGCAAGAATATTTACAATCTTTTATTAAAAAACATCAGCATAACATTTTTTTATTAATCACGCCTAACTTATTAAAAATGCCTACGATTAGGAAACATAGTGATATCAGTTAGGATAGAGTTCAACTTATCCTAAAATAAAATAAATCATAAAATAAAAGCAATATTAATTTTTATAAAATAGTTACTTGTTTTGACTTTTTATAGTAATAAAACATTCCTCACACTGCTTACACTTAACAAAACTTCTCAAATGTTATTAAAGTAATATTATTAAAATAATTAAAGTAATATTTACATTTAAAGAATTAATTAAATAAGAACGCCTTCGCAAAGGAAACACAACTACAACACGCTCCTGTATTGCGGGTATTGCATTGACTTTCTGCAGGCGTTTTTAATTTTTTTTTTTCTCGTCTTGATAAAAATCTCGGCCAAAAAGAAATCTCGTCTCGTGTAACGAGATTTAAAATTTTCCGAAAATTTCCCGAAATTTCGAGACTTGACCATCTCTAAAAAAAATTTTCTAACAACTAGTAATTCAATTTGTAATAATGCCATTTTACCCAATAAAGTGATTTCAATTTCATGTGTGAAGACAATATCTGTCCTACCAGTTCTTTAGAAAAGTGCTGGTGCTGGGAACCGATGTCATAATGAATATACTGGTACTTTGGTACTTTGGTATGGTTTATGGTACTGGTTGGTTTCTATAAATACAGCAAGGTCGTGGTCAGAAGATCACAGTTACAGGCTGGGTGGTACAGTATTGGGTGAATTACGGGCGTGGCAATGGTAAATCTGTCCCTAGGTCCCTTGTTACTTGTATTGTTTGTTTATTTATTTAGATACAAAAATGTGACTAACTTGAAACTCAAAACTGCCAAAATATGGGAAAAGTGGTTGTGGCAATATCTGTGAGCTGCTAAAGGTGTAAGATCTGGATAACAAGAGTGATCCTTCCTTGTGGTCACAACAATATGTCATTTCCCACAACCATAAAAGATAATCGACAGAATGCCATTAAAGAATGGACACTCAACCTTAGTGTTATTGGCAGCATTAATTCAAATCCCCTTGCCACAGCAAACCTGCAGACTAAGCGGATTTCCACCAATTAAATATATTCCAATAACATTAGGCTTAAGGAGTACCTAGGTTTGCTGCTACAGAAAAGGTAATAAAGTGTATTTTTTAGTAAAATATTAATAGTTTAGTATAAAATAGTTATATAATAGTATAAACAGTTTGTTCAATATATATCAATAAACAAGCATACTACAACAGCTTACTTATTTTCCATAAGAATAGCATGGGAATTTTAAATTTACAGTTTTTGGATTTTGTCCGTAACTAATAACCGTAAACACACTTCAACTCAATAAATTATTTTTTTCTTAATATCTTCAAAATGGTTTTGACATAAATTGGGACATTTGATTTTTGAGGATCAAAAATGATAACCTATTTTCAAAAACCTATTTTCACTAGGTGCAGGTCAACTGAGCCTCCAGAATGATAACAATGAGTTTATTTGATTTGATATTACAAACTGCAATAATTGCAATCAAAATAATTTATCACAACATGTGCTCACTAATCCAGCTGTTCAGGACTTAAGCAATGCCGGATTATTGATGTATTCATGTAGTTATTCATGTATGTTATTCATGTAGTTAGTTTGTGCTGTACTCCGTTATGTTACTGTGACAGTTTAAAATGTCTGTGTTGATTGAATATGCCACGAACTGTGAGGTGCGTGCAGTAATAAGGTGTCTAACTGCAAAAAACTGTAAACCAATAGAAATCTATTGGCAAGTTTGTGAAATGTATGGGGTAAACATTATCACTGAAGGTGTAGTGCGTCAGTGGGCCATAAAATTTTTAAATAGCCAAACTAACGTTAGCGATGAAGACCAAAGTGACAGACCCATTAAAGTGACTGCCGAACTTGTTGAAAAAGTCAATGCCGAAGTCCGCAAAACTCTAAAATTCACAATAACGGAACTCTCTATGGGTTTTCCACAAATTTTGTGAAGTTTGTTGCACAAGATCATTGGTTACCATAAGTTTTGTGCAAATGGGTACCTAAAATCTTTACACTTACTTGACTTAATTCCATTAACTCCCACTAAAGCAGAGGGCTTTAACTAGTATCCTTCCCTGGTCCCTGTCAGCAGCAACTCTCTTCATCTCTTCCCACTTGTTCCCACCCGTCTGGCCTCTCTTTCAAAACTTTGTTTCCAATTTTCTCTTGGCCTTCCTCTTCTTCTTTCACCTTGGGTTGTCCAATTAAGTGCTTCTTTTTCCAGGACATAGTTTGGTTTCCTTAGTGTGTGTGTGCAATACATCTCGACTTCCTTTACTTTATTTCCTCATGTATACGCAGCCGGTCTATTCACTCTAGCAATTCTTTGTTTGAAATCACTTCTGGCCACCAAATGTTCAAAATCCTTTTTAAGACAGCGATTTACAAATACTTGCAATGGCCGTGTCACTGTCATTGAAGTTTTCCATGTTTCACACCCATATAATAAAACTGACTTGACATTTGTATTAAAAAGTCGCAACTTAGTTTTAATATATAATTCCTATTTTCCACAATGGGTACATTTCGTTCTTTATTTAAAACGTTTGGATTCTGGAACCTTTCATTTACCTCATTTCTTTATTCTTGTTGCCTTTTAAGTCCAGCTTTTCTTGCTATTTGGTTTAAAAAAGCTGAGGGATCCTCCTGCAAATCACTAAACCTTTGTGACAATAGACACAGGTCATCTAACCTATCACGTAGGTTCTACTGAATTCCTCTTCTTCATTCTTCTAAAGAACCTCTTATAATAGTGTCAAGTACTACAATACAATAAAAAGAGTTGGTGAAAGGATACATCCTTGCTTCATGTACCTGTATCTATCTTTATTGGTTGTGAAAGTTCTCCCTCATGTATTACTTGTCACTCATATCCTTCACTTTCTCGAAACTCTAAAATTCACGATAATGGAACTCTTTAAGGGTTTTCCCAAAGATTTTCAAAGTTTATTGCACAAGATCATTACCAAAATGCTTAGTTACCACAAGTTATGGGCAAGATGGGTACCAAAAATCTTGATAGAGTTTCAAAAAAATCAGCAAAACTCACTACTTGATCACGTTGTTACTGGTGACAAAACATGGGTCAAACATGTGAACTGTGAAACTACGGCTTACATTTGTATATAGTAAAATGTTTTTCCAAGACTTTGTTTATCCTTAATTCCAGAACGTAATCGATATTCTGGATAGCACTCGTTTATATGAACCCTATCGAGTACAACCAACCTCCGCCAATTGTGCCCTACTCTCCTGATCACTCCTTACTCTTTCAACTCTGAGTTTTACAGACCCTTAGACTGATCCCAAAGTATTGAAAGTGCTGGACTATGGAATGCCGGATTAGTGGGCTTTAACTATAGTTAGTCACAAAGTACTTTATTTTACTTGGTTTTGAATTTACTTACAAAAGGAAAACTGTCAACATTTTCTGACAGTTAAATTAATCCCTGCACAAAATTTCCCACACATATTTTTAAAATTATCTGCATCTAACTCTTATATTGCTTGCAAGAAAAAAAATAAAAACACACATATACAGGGTGTTATTTTTTTAACACAGCCCAAATTAAATAAAAGTAGAGGCACTCTTTAATGTTAAAACAAGCTTGTATGTTGATATCCCTGTTTTCTTTTTTACTTCATTACTGATCCACTGATATGCATTGTTGCATATTTATCCACAAGGCTTAGTGATATTAGGAATTTATTGTAAATAAGACAACAACATGGCATTTCCCCAAGCTCAAAGAGTTATAAGAATACGTTGAAAGTCATTGGTTTTATGCCAAGAATGGTTTGAAATTAAGTTTCCAGGTGCGATTCCAGTACCTAATAAATAAACTATTAATATTATTGACATATACAAGTTTAAGGAAACCAAATTTGAAGATTTATTTTAAGTGATGAGTCAGGCAGATGGAAATTTGCTTAGTCTGCAGGTTTGCTGTGATGAGTTTTTATTTAGGAAATTTCCCATATAGGGAATAAGCTATTACTGTAGTACTCATGGTAAGACCTGGACCCGGACCGATTTACTTTTTCGTTTTGAGGTCACTAGAGGCCAAAAACACCATCCGTTCAAATTCATATATATATACAGGGTGTCCATAAAAAACGTTTCAGGACTTTGGGAAATGAATCCCCATACTTTACCCAGATATCCGCCATTTTGTTTTTATTCAAAAATATTTTTATCTGTGAAGTTTTTTATTCGATGATTATGAAATTTGTTAAACATGTTAACATACACAATACCTATAACGGAAAAAATAATAAAGTTGTTCCGATTGTAAATTTCAAAATGGCAGCCATTTGAATTTTTCTAACTTA